TTGAAAAATTAATTAAATTTTAAAACATTTGAATGAAGTAATTATTTTGAAATTTATTAGTAATTTTAAAATATTTTAATAATATTTACAATAATTTTATAAAGTAAACATACTTAATTATATAATTTTCATGCAAAGTCGACTAAAATTATAAATTTAAAATAAATTTTAAAAATATGTATTTAATCGAATAGCAATCCTAAAAATGGTAAAAGGTCGGTCAAAATTGGGCGTCAACAAATTGAAGCAAAATATTTTATATAACTACAATATTTTGGTTCAAATAATTTATTGTGTCTAAAAGGTTAATATTGCCACAATAATATTTATCGCATACCAAAAAGATATGATCAACTATAAAATTTTATCAAAGCAATAAAGTTATAGCTACCTTAGACAATTACTGCCACAATTATTAATAATCATAGCAAAAATAATGAATTAGCTTCAGCAATTTGATATTTGTGGCTAAGAAATTTATTAATTTATAGATAGATAGGTGTTCAAAATTTTGTGGCTATTAATACGTAATAGCTATGATTTTTGAATTCATAGCTTAAATTTTATAGCTATAGATATATTATTGTAGAAATCTCACGTAACTATGGAGAAATCGAGGATGCATTGATGAAAATAATGTTGAGTCACAAGTTCCTCATATAAGAGAAGTGTCGTATTCTAGTTATACTATGAATCCTACTACAACACAATTGTTTACATGAGTAGTATTGTATTATAACTCAAATACTTTATCCTTGTTGACTCCTACAATATATAGTAGCTTAGTCGTACATAACTTAGCATTTAATAGTCTAGTCTTAGTATGACTCCAACTCTAACTTGTTAGCCTGCTTCAATGAATCTGCCCCTTTAACATGTTCATCGGTCTACTATTCCTTCAACATGTTCCATCAGTCTTCAAATTCCTACAACACTTCCCCTCTAGCTAGTGATTGGAGGAACTGTAGCTCCTAAATTGCTGCGAAATCAAAGAAAACCTGCTTTGTTAAGACTTTGGTAATGATTATCAACTAGTTGACCTTAAACTTCACAAACTTAGTAAGAAGTTGTCTCATGGCCACTTTCTCATGAAAAAAACTGATAGTCCATTAATAAATGTTTGTATCTAGCATGCATAACTAAAAATAATCGTCATGTACAAGACACTCATGTTATAATAACAATACAACGTAGGAATAGATCGAAGGAACACTCCAAGGTAATGAAGAAGATACAAAATCCAAGTCATTTCGGTAATGGAGGCTAGTGATCTATACTCAGCTTCAGCACTCATCGGGATACTATAGTCTATGTCTTGGAGGTCCAAAAAATACAATTTTCACCTAGGTAGATGTTATAGCCTGTAATTGATCTCCTAATAGTGGTACAACCTCCCCAATCATAATCTGAGTAGCCATACCACATATAAGGTGATTGAGAAATAATTCTTAAGCCAAAGTGTAGAGTACCTTTAATGTACTTGAAAATCCTTTTTACCCCATCAATATGTTCATGTTTGGACTTTGCAGAAACTGGCTTGCTAAGATTATAGCATGACTAATATCAGGTTTTGTGAGGGTCAAATACTGAAGGCTCCCTACTATCATTTTGTACAAAGAGGCATCTACAAGACTTCCTACAGCTTCATGGAAACTATGCTTTTGAGCCACAGGAATGGCTACCTCCTTTGTCAAAGTCATCTCTATTGGCCAACAGTTCAACAACATACTTTACCTTAGAAAGAAATGTTAAGTGTCAAGATCTTTCATATCAAACGTCTTCCCAAGTTGTAGAACAAACTCTGAGACACGAGATGAATTACTTCATTGACAATAATATCTTCCACATATAACAAGAAAAATATTTTGCCTTTATGAGTTTGCATGTTCCTTTGACATGTTCCATCAACATATTGTTCCTTCGACATGTTCCATCAGTTTTCAAGTTTCCTTCAACAATTTTGTTGTTGGGAAGTTACTTTTTTTATATGAGGAAGTTGTATTTATATAATTCAATCTTCATATAGCTAAAATATTATTATCTAATTAGAAATATTTTTTATAAGAAGTTTTAAATTTATTTTTCCAACAAAAAAATATAATTTTAACTTGGAGGAAAGTTTTGGAAAATGTTTTCCTTAATTTTTGAAGGGAAGTCATTTTCCTTAATTTTGAGGAAAATTAGTTGATTTGCGAAATATTTTTCAAAATTTTTTAACCCAACCAAACATGAAAAATTGAAAAATATTTTTCGAAAAATGTTTTCCTTCAAACCAAACATATGATAATTGTTTACTAGAACCATGTCTGAGGTGCTTATATAAAAGGGCACTTAATGATATGAATTGTACATTTTTTAATATGAGGAAGATGTATTTATGGATGTATTTATAATTTTATATAATTCAATCTTTAGATAATTAAAATACTATAGAAGGTCAAGATGGTAATTCAATTTTTAAGATTAGAGCTTTCCACCTTAAAATTTATTCATATAAAACTATCAACACTAGAAGGAGCTTTTCCATCTTTTCCCTCGTGAAAATATATTCATCATCAACAGCATACCTAGTGAAATCCCACTTAGTAGAGTATGAAGAATGTGAAGACTAAGCAAATCTTACCACTATTTCGTGGAGATAAAGAGGTTGTTTATGAAATAGAGGAATCAAAACCTCATAAAGAGAATCAGTTTCGATAAATCTATACTTTGTAGAGAAGCACTTAGATAGGGAACTCAAAGATACTAAGATAAATAGCAAGATGCACTTGTCAACAATCATCAAAATAATAAGGAGAATGACCTAAGACACTCTAATGAAGACCTAGTACACATTGGAAACATGGATTACTTTATTAATCCAAGATTTAAGCTCACAGATTAACTTAAAAGTTAAAACACACACAAAAAAAGCTTTCAAATGATTCCCTTTAATGCAACAACTATATACGTAAAAGGGGTTGTAGATATACAAAATATAAGCTGAAAAAACGAAGTTTTTAATAATCAAGTGACAATCTTGGAAAAGTTCTACTCCTACTATATACGCATTAATCCCAAATAGTTTGGGTAGATCATAACAACAACAACAACAAAGATACCCAGTAAAATCTCACAAGCTGGGATAAAGTATAAACATATCTTACCCCCGACTTGTTGATAAACAACTCTGCATAAATAAAGCACGCCAAATAGTTTGAATAAGGAATACGCATATGGAAAAAATAACAATAACGAAATAATGTGAAATAAACAACTAAATAGATGGGGTAGACCATAGGAGTACTAAATCCTCTCTGCTATATTTCATTCCAATACTAAATACAACAAATGACAAAATGAAATTATACATACAACAAATAACAAAATGAAATTCCTTCGACATGTTCCATCAGTATATTGTTCCTTCGACATGTTAGTTTTCAAGTTTCAGGGAAATTACATTTTTTATAAGAGAAAGTTGTATTTATATAATTCAATCTTCATATAGCTAAAATATTATTTTTTAAAAGAAGTTCTAAATTAATAAATACAAAAAAAAAATTAACTTGGAGGAATGTTTTTGGAAAATGTTTTCCTTAATTTTTGAAGGGAAGTCGTTTTCCTTAATTTTGAGAATAATAAGTTGATCTGCAAAATATTTTTCAAAACTTTTAACCCAACCAAGCATGAGAAAATTGAAAAACATTTTACCTAAAAAGTTTTCCTTCATACCAAACACATGATAATTGTTTACTAGAACCATGTCGGAGGTGCTTATATAAAAGGGTACTTAATGATGTGAATTGTACAAAATATAATGTAAGCAAAAAAAATTGATCTCTATGGTAATTTTTTTGAGGATTAGAAATACATGAATCTTGTAGCACCTGATTTGTGCATTTTCACTCATTCCCTAAGTTTTTATGCTCAATTTCGTCATTTTCTTTCTTTATTTATTTTTGTTTTCTTACGGTGCAAGAAAAGTGTATGCTGAGGTTGAAGAGGAAGCAATGAAAGATGATTATCTATGCTTATCGTATTCTTTAAGCTTATGTTCTCAATGGCATATATATGCTTATCGTATTCTTTAAGCTTATGTTGTTTCAGTTTTAGTTTGAAATTTTCATTAACATTTCAATTTTGATTTTGTTCTAATCGCACCGAATTCAAATTTAGGTATCCAATTTTTGCTATATATGGATTAATGCTTCTTATTATTCGTATCTTTTGTTATTCCTCTATACATAATACTTTGCTTTGAATTGTCTACATTTATACATTTGTGAAAATATGTTTTATTTGTGCTAAGTGTCTTTTGGAAACTCGCTCATGAGTTATTTAAATTATAGTATTATTTATGTTATTAATTTTAGTGTTAAATTCACGAAATATTTTGCAAGGACTTTAGTTTCTATATTTAGAAAATTCACTTTAAGTTTGATCATTTCCTGCTACAGTTCATCTGATTAAATTAGAAAATTACGACTCTCTTAGCTTCTCATATCATATGTATATTTGATCAAAGATAACTGCTTCTTATAAATATATTAATTAAAGTGGGAAGAACCTATCTTCAGTGTTGGATTACCACTTTTCCCTTTCAAACAATCAAAGTTAAATTAAGGAATGATGCACAAGTACCCCCTCAACCTATGCCCGAAATCTCGTAGACACACTTATACTATAATAAGGTCTTATTAACCCCCTTAATATATTTTATAAGTAAATTTCTACCTTTTTTTAGCCTACGTAATTTGCTTTCCGCTTCCTTTCATGTTGATCAAAATAATACCTTTACCTTTTACATCAACTAAGGCTCCATTCCCATTCTCACTTCAGTAATGATGTCATTATTAATTGAGAGGAAAACATTTTCATCTCCAGTCATGTGATTACTATAGCCACTATCGACATACCTATTCATTGCTTTTTATTGAAGCATCAGATTTAGAAGCAAAGAAAAGGTTCTCTTCCTTTTCTTCCTCCTGTTTTTCACAAAAAATTTGCTTGCTCTCATATCTTGTGCTAGCAATCCTTTTCAACATGGCCAAAGTTTTTACAAATTTTACATTGGGGTTTGCCTTTGTGCCAACATTTTTCTGCATTGTGATTAGTCAACTTTACAAATAAACTAGAGTTTTTTTCACCTTTTTCTTCAACCTTTTGGGAAGAACCATCATGATTTTGCTTCTTTTTTGGCTTGTAGTTCTTCTTTTGTTGATTTTTTGAGAAATTTTGAGAATTCTCATTTTTTTTATACTGAAAGTCGTCTCTTTGGGTTGATCTTCACGAAAAAATCTTCGCTTCTCATATGCACTAAATGATCCAACTAGCTCTTTGATGGAAAGCTTAGAAAGATCTTTCGTCTCCTCAATGATAGCAATAATGTACTCATACTTTTCTGTAACACCAATAAGAATATTTTTCACAACTTGTTGGTCAGAAATTGTATCACCATGATTTCTCATTTCATTAACAATATCCATGAATCTTGTGCAATATTCTTCAATTTTTTTCAGATTCTATCATCTTCAAATATTGAAACTCTCTTCTATGAGTTTGAAGATTTTTAGTGTGTACCTTTTTGTCACCATACACCTCAGTTTCAAGAGAATCCCAAGATTCCTTTTGCAGTCTCACAATTAGCTATTTTTGCAAGATATGCTCTTGAGTCTCCCATTTGGATTTTGTTCAAGGATTTTGCATCTTGACGATATTTAGCCTCAAGATTTTTCAACTCTGCTGCTGTAAGATCACCATCATTGTCTGGCTTTTCAAATCCATTTGCAACAATAGTAAAAAAACCTTCAGCTTCAATTTTCATTCTTATCTTCCAGTATTGAAAATCAATTCCATCAAAAAATGGAGTGAACAATTGAAGGAAATAACAATTTATAGGAAATATGAAAAGGAAATAGCATCTTTAGAGAATGCTCAAGTTTATTATAGGCTACTTAAGACCACTTGAGATGATTACAATTATCAACTACATCACTACTTATACTACTCAAAATAGAAAACAAAAAGTCTTGCACAAATAACTAAATACATGTATCACAATTTACTAGATACATGTATTACGAAATTCTAAAGATACTTCTTGCAAAACTAAGAGACTATTTCGAAAGACTAAACATTAGAGACCTGCAACTTTCTTCCTACTCCACAAAATTTAGCATAGAAAATACATACATACAAAAAATAGATGTACAAATCCAACACATAATTCACAACTCTATCCTGTGATGTCATCAGCTTCCTCACCACATTCCGCATAGTGGATGAACTCACCATCTGTCTGTTACCAAGAAACCAGTCATTGATTGATCAGAGTGCGTAAGCCAAGCAACTATAGGCACTCCCATAGTGATACTCTTAATGAGAGAATTTCGTCCACAATGACACATCACTCATGAACTCATCCACAAATATTTAGAAACTAAAACATAAATGAACCAAGGAACACTACATATGAAATGCATCAAATCACTACAAAATTATGAGGATACCTTTGTTGACACTGGACCATATTTTCTACGTGTGCATCAGTTCCCAAAAGTGTAAAATTAAATGAGCAAGTTTATAACAACTTAAAAACTACAATGAGTCCAAACTAAAAAATATACATAATTCTTAACTATAGACCAAAACAATGTAAGATCAAATAGAATTAATGTAAACTGATTTGCCATAAATACTCACTCAACGAATGGCATGATTTGTGGACAAGTGAGTACCATATATCGATGTGCTTGACGTGTCAAGTATTAACGCATACTCTGCGCTACATCTTCTAGTAAATGTAGGTTGAGGTTTTAAGCTTCCAGATCACGTTTAGATCGGTTCCAGATCTTCATTTCAATAGTTAAAGCGGTGTGTCCTCATTCTTCGAGGACAAAGTGACATGATTATTTCCCTTCGTTTTTAATTTTTAGTTTCAGACTAGCTGGGGCATGTCCTAGCGTTTCTAGTCAGTTAGGCTTATTTCAGACATAGCTAGATTTAGGTTTATTTCATTTGATCTTGACTTTAAGTTGTTTTAAAACTCTCAGTTTTCTTATATATTCAGTTTTAGAATGGGTATTCCCAATCACTTTCAGTTTTCATTAAGCTGACGCTCAACATTATTTCATTCCAGTTATCATAGTATGCTTATGTATACCAACAAAGTTAGCTTGGGATCACTTGTGATGTTAGGGCGGTTGCGCGTCTAGATGGTAGCTCAACATCATAACTATGCTACCAGTGAACAACTCCAACATAACTTTTTATTTCACTTTGGTTAGATCATTACCCTGTTAAGGACGTTTTACTTAAACTAATGATTCAAAGTTCATCTTCCTCATATAAAAAAAAGTTGATTTGCCTTTAATTTAGAATGAATCGCCATCCAAAATTTGAAGGGAGAAACACCCTGGATAGGAGCGTTTTCCTTGAAAAAAAGTTTTTAAACAAACTGAAAATTTAAAGTAAGGTGGTGATTTTCTGATTGAACTAAAATGAATCATAGACGGTCCTAAAGAGGTAACCAAAAAATTGACTTAACACAAATTTAAATTTGTCAGAAAAAATAATGAATATCAAATAATAATACTATATAAACTAACATATTCATTCATGATTTTAAAACATTTCGTGGTATTGTTAAAATATAACATTGTCTTCCATAAACTTGATCAAAATAATAAAGTAGTGTGTGATACTACATAAAGAGATATTTGCCACACACTTTTACATGCAATTAAATTAGTATTAGTATATATTATTTTTTCTCTTAAGTAACCTAAATCATATATTAATTCAATTTAGTTAAGAGAAACATAACGATGATTTACACTAATTTAATTGCATTGAGTGTGTAGCAAATTATTTCCTCTTGTTGACACTACTCTATCATTTCGATAAAGTTCACGGAAGAGAAGGTTATATGCTAGCAATACAAGGGAAAGGTAAAATTACACATGAACATATTAGTTTTTATATTATTACTATATAATAATCATTATTTATTTTCCAACCAATTCAATTATATTGGTCTTAAGTCGGGGTCTTTTTTTTACCTCCTTTAGGACCAAACTATGATTCATTCTTGTTCGTTCAAAAAATCACTATCTTTATAGGAGAAAAGAGAAACTTTGCATTTTTAGAGGAGGTACTGACAAAGCTCAACTATCATTATGAACTTAATTATAACTCTTATAAGCAAAAGAGTTCATTGTTTATCTTGGAGAAAATAACATAAGACTAATTGTCATCTTTGAACATAGAGTTAAAGGAACAAAATGCTAAAGAAGTAGTTGATAAATTTGGCAGGAAATAGTATTAGTTTCATAACTATACTACCAGTGAACAACTCCTACATAACTCCTTTTTCACTCTTGTTAGATAGCTGCCCTGGTAAGGAAGTTTTACTTTAACTAATAATTCAAAGTCCATCTTCCACGTATAAAAAATGTTAATGTTGCATCGATTTAGAATGAATCACCATCTAAAAATAGAATGGAGAAACACCCTAGATTGAATCGATTTCCCTTGTAAGTTTTGAACAAACTAAAAATTCAAAATTATTAAGATTGTGATTTTCTGATCGAACAAAAATGAACCATAGTCGATCCTAAAGAGTTAATAAAAAAATTGACATAACCCAAAATAAATTTGTCGGCGAATAATTAATGAATATCAAATAATAATACTATATAAACTAACATATTCATGCATTATTTTTTAGCATTTCGTAGTATTGTTAGCACATAACATTTTCTTCCATAAACTTGATCAAAATGATAGAGTAGTGGTAAAGCGTAAAGAAATATTTTGTCACACACTTGGCATGCAATTAAATTAGTATAAGTATATGTTATTTTCCTCTTAATTAAGTTAAATCATATATCAATTCAACATAGTTAAGAGAAACATAACGGTAATTTGTACTAATTCAATTGCATGTTGAGTGTGTGATAAAATATTTCCTCATGCTGCACCAATATTTCATCATTTTGATCAAGTTCATAAAACAAAAGGTCTATGCTAGCAATACAAGAAAATGGTAAAATCATATATGAACATATTAGTATATATATTCTTACTATTTGATATAATAATTAAGATATTCATTATTTATTTTTCAACCAATTTATATTTGTGTTAAGTCGGATTTTTTCAGTTACCTCTTTTAGGACCGACTATGATTCATTCTTGTTTGATCACAAAATCACCATCTTGATAGGAGAAAGAGGAACTTTAAATTTTTAGTTTGTTTGAAATACTTCCTTACAAGAGAAAACGCTTCTATCTAGACTGTTTTTCCTTAAAGTTCGGGTGACAATTCATTCTAAATCTAGATCAGTTATCTCTCCCTTTCTTTTCATCCTTGCTATGGAAGGCCTTATTAAGATGCTCCAAAAAGCATGTCACAATTTCACATCTGTTGTATGCGGATGATACTCTGTTTTTTTTGTCGGGTAGATAGATCACTAGTTATTAAGCTAAACTTGATTTTGCACATTTTTGAAGTTGTTGCTGGACTATACACAAATACGTCACGAAGCACTGTCTATTCAGTAAACTTGGGAGAGCTAACCGAAATCATGTGCTGCAACAACTTATCTTAGGCTTCCTTTAGGTGCGAATTTAAAGGCTAATGATATATGATTGGGAATAATTGAGAAATTTGAAAAAATACCCGCAACATGGAAAATGCAATATCTTTCTTTTGGAGGAAGAGTTATATTGATTAATAGTGTAATGGATAACATCCCTACATATAATATGTCCTTTTTTACCTATTCAAGCAAAAGTTCTCGAAAAGCTCGATAGCATGAGAAGAAATTTTCTATGCAAAGGACACCGCAAGGATCATATGCTTCACTATGTTAAATGGGCGAAATTGACACAACTGAAATCTCTAGGAGGTTTGGGTATTAAAGATCTTGTAGCTCACAAATAAAAGCATGATGATAAAATGGTTATGGAGGTACGGAACTGAAGACATTGGATTGTGGAAAGAGGTGATCAAATCTAAACATGATGAGCTTACTCACTGGTCTATAAATGTCTCAACAGATGCATATGGAGTTGTTCTATGGAAAAGCATCGGTAAACTTTGGCCAGATTTTGCAGGGAACGTCACATTTAGAGTTGCCAATGGATCTCACATCAAATTTTGGAAGGACATATGGTTGGGAGACACAACTTTGGGTGAGGAATTTCAAGATTTCCACCTCATTGCAACTGAATCAAATTATACCATAGCATCCAACAAATCAGATAACATTCAGGATAAAAGGTTCAGGAGAAACCTAAATGACTGGGAACTTAATGATCCCTAGTGCTATATTTTGGTGTCAATATTTTAGTGTTTATTGACAGAGAGGAACAAAAGATGTTTTGATGGAATTTAAACTTCTAGAGATCTATGGCGAGGCAGATGTCTAGTTAGCCTTTTTAGTTGGTCCAAACTGACCCTGACAACTAATTTAGAACTCTTCTTGGATTTTGTTAGCTCTGTAGCTTCGAAAGAGGCTACAAATCCTTTTTTTTGTGAAAGAAAAATCAGTCATGTGACAACGGATAGATTTTGGAGACAAAATTGAGTTACAAGGCGTCCAAGAAGAAATATAAATGTAACGACATGTCCCATCATTATGGTCTCGTTGGAGGTAGTTACCAACCTCAACTACATTATGAATTTAATTACTTGGAACATTAAAAACTCCCTTACAAGAGCAAGCACTCCTATCTAGGGTGTTTCACTCTTTTTATTTTGAGTGACAATTCATTCTAAATCTAGCTTAACTACATTTTTAATATGAGGAAGATGTATTTATGGATGTATTATAATTTTAAATAATTCAATTTATAGATAATTAAAATATTATCATTTAATTAAATTCTTAATATAGTAGATGGGCAAGATGGTAGTTCAATTTTTAAGATTAGAGCTTTCCAGCTTAAAATTTATTCATATAAAACTGCCAAACTAGAAGGAGCTTTTCCATCTTTTCCGTCGTAAAAATATAATCATCATCAACAACATACCTAATGGAATCTCACTTAGTAGAGTATGAAGAATGTAGAGAATATGCGAATCTTACCACTATTTCATGAAAATTAAGAGATTGTGTACGAAAGACCTTCGGCTCAAGGACATCAATCCAACTAAAAAAAAGAAGGAAACTCTGAATTAAAACAAAGCCGAGATGGAAGATGAAAGTGAAAGATAAATTTAGAAATTTTGGAGACAAAATTGAGTGACAAGCTAAGGTGTTCAAGAAGAACTATACCCAAGTGTTAGCCTTTGAAGTATGCATACGTATATCTTAGAGTTTCATGATAGATCAAAGCATCATATTTGGTTCCAAAAGTTGGGTTGGTTCATTCAATCCCACAAAAATCTCTCAAACTTTTGTGCTGATTTCTATCCATATCGCATTTAGAGGAATTAAAACCTCACAAACAAAACCAGTTTCGATAAATCTATACTTTGTAGAGAATCACATAGATAGGGAACACAAAGATACTAAGATAAATAGCAAAATGCACTTGTCAACAATCATCAAAATTTTAAGTAGAATCACCTAAGATGCTGTAATGAATCGACTTAGTACACATTGGAAACATGGATTACTTTGTTAATCCAAAAGGGGTTGTAGCTATACAAAATATAATCTGAAAAAATGAAATTTTTAAAAATCAAGTGACTATCTTAGAAAAAGTTCTACTCCTACTATATACACATTAATTCCAAATAGTTTAGGTATACCATAATAATAATAACAACAACAACGATACCCAGTAAAATCTCACAAGCTGGGATAAAGTATAAACATATCTGACCCCCGACTTGTTGCTAAACAACTCAGCATAAATAAAGCATGCCAAATAGTTTGAAAAAGGAATACACATATAGGAAAAATAACAATAACAAAATGATGTGTAACAAACAACTGAATAGATGGTGTAGACCATAGGAGTACTAAATCCTCTCCGCTATGTTTCATTCCAATACTAAATACAACAAATAACAAAATGAAATCATTCATACAAAAAATATTTTTCAAGAATTACCATGTGTGGTTTGCGATGCTTACTTGGTGAAGCATGGAGACTGACCGTTTCTCCCTCGCTCGTCTGAGAACAACAGAAGACTCCTACACAAGTTATGGAGAGATTAATTATTACCATATATATATAAGCATTATTTCTTCAAGAGTTGCATTAATTAGAGGACATTTGTCTTGTCTGTCAGATCCTAGTAAGGCCCTGGAATAACCTAATAAGTACTGAGGCGGGCTGGAAATGCAAATTGCATTTAGGTTTAGTATGAAAATGTATGATTTACATGTTAGGGTTTCTAAATTCACTTGTACTTAATAGATTTTGTGCTCTTTATTTGAAAAAAGATCACCACAAGAACAAACAAGCAACTATAGAGAAATCACAGCCTAGACTAGTTTTCTAAGAATCAACAAGATGGAGCTACCCAAATAACTCAGAATATCTTAAAATCCAGAAGTATATAAGAAAAAGTTGGAATTAACAAAAGAAACTTACCTGGAAGAATTTGTTAAAATCTGTCTCAAAACGTCGAAATGCTCGACGGAGTATGTTGTCCGTCCTCGTCGCAAAAGAGGAGAATCGTCGAATTGCTACTGGTCGGAGCTGGCTTTCGTAGATGCTCGCCTGAGATTGAGATGAGGCAGCATCTGGTTGCTGTTGCTGGCGTTGGCTCATTGCTGCTGGTCGCTGTTCTTCGCCGCAGCCTGCTGCCTGGTGGTCCTGCAAAGAGAGAGAAAAAAAAGAACAAGGAGAAGAGGAGGGAGGAGAGATCTGAGAGGGAAGGAGAAAAGGGGGAAGGGGTGGCGCCACCTGGCACATCTCGCCGGAGTTTCGCTTCCCTCTCTCACTAGTCGCCGCTGGTCGGAGCTGCATGGCAGCTCGCTGGAGAGGAGAAGAGGAAGAGAAGAGCGAAGGGGAAGGCAGGGAGGAGGAGAGAATAAGAAGACTAGGGTTTAGGTTTAGATTTTTTGATAGTTTATAAATAGGGAAAAGAAGAATTTAATCTCAACCATTGATTTCATAAGAGATGAAGGACTAGGATTTGAATAAATTGGAGTGACTACAATTGAAATAATTTGGAATAAAAGACTAACTTTTAAATAACTTTGAAAAGAGTTTAGGAATTGTTATTTGATTAAAATACTACATATAATAAAGTATCATATATTTATATTAAAGAGAACCTTAGGACTGTCTATGTGGCGACACCACAAGCAAGGATTCTCTTTAATTTATTTTATTTCCAATACTAGGTTTCCTCTTTCATGAAAAGTTGTGACTTTTATGAAATGTTGAAACTTTTATCATGAAAAGTTGCGACTTTTACGAAATATTGTTCCCTTTCTGAAAGGTTTTAACTTTCTAAAGAATTGTGTCATTTCCGATAAGACACATTAATCATTTTTTTACAAGTAGCATTTGTTGTCTATAAATAGAGAATTACAATGTGCACACAATGGGCTCGATTTGTATCATTATGTTTTATTTCAATGTTACATATCCTGGTATATTTTTTACACTCATTAGTTTATGCTTATTTTATTGGTTGTTGTTTTTGAGTATATGCTTTAAACTTTGTTATTTATGTTTATGTACAGCTGTTATTATAAGTATATGTTAGTAAAAATTAAATAACAAATGTCAATTGAATATTCAAGCAAGTTTTCTCTACTGAAATTGTTGGATGTACATTAAAAAGCCTTTTCAAATCTCATATCTCTTCAACAACAACGCTATTCCTTAACATATAAGGATGTGATTTTGTGTCCTTCAGAAAATCCTCTGAGAGTTAATAACTATACATGCCCATATTATTTTTATATTTTTTTTTTATCTATTTATACTTAATTTTATGGAAAAATGCACAAGTACCCCCTCAACCTATGCCTGAAATCCCAGAGACACATTTATACTATACTAAGGTCCTATTACCCCCCTAAACTTATTATATAAATAATTTTGTACCCCTTTTCAGCCTACGTGGCACTAGCTTGAAAGAAAAAGTCAACCAGCGTTGGGCCCACAAGATAATGTCACATAGGTCGAAAAGGTTAGAAAATTATTAATAAAATAAGTTCAAGGATGTAATATGATCTTATTATAGCATAACTGTGTCTCTGAGAATACGGGCATAGATTGAGGGGATACTTGTGCATTATCCCTAATTTTATCACTCGACATTATGATTACTTTAAGGATTAAAAGTTGATTGAAATGCTATTCAGTTTTTTGAGGTATGTTATTTCAAAAGATAAAATTTTTTCTGGTTAGAATGATTTGTTATCATCATTGAATATCCTATAGTTTACTCCCTTTAATGTATGTTTTTCTCACTTTTATGTTGTCTCCTTACAATTATATTGATTCTTTTTGGTTTGTATGTACATAATCTGACTATGATAACGATTTTAGTCCTTTTAATGTTTTCCTTATTTTTCCTTTTCATTCGTCTCTTCTAAATATTTTTGTTGTGAGTTACGACTATTTCAGTCAAGCTTAATTTGAAGGATATGAAGCAAAACCTACTCTAAATAAAAGTAATATTTCAATCTATAAAAGATATGTCTATTAATATAGATTTTTTGTCCTTTATGTCCCAAGTCATTGGTGAGTGTTCGAATTATCTAGGTTAGCTCATTTTTAATTTTTTAATTTTAAAAAATGTTTCTTTAACATGAGTCTACAATACAACATTCTAATTTATGTGTACTTTCATAATGTAACAATCATAAATAAATATTCCTAAAAAGTCGTAAAGTTGCATTGATGAAGAATCCGGAAGGGCCTTCTAAAGTTTAATGAAGAATGAATTTCTAAAGGGCAACAATATTATTTTGTTGTTGTTCAAAATATATTTTTCTCCTTGTACAAATTTTTCTTAGAATAACAAAGTAATATTAACATAAATTGGAGAAAATTTGACCTCAGACAAGTAGATTGTCTCTAAAAATATTATTTATGTTGTTGCGGTGTATAGTTTTTAACAGGCATAACTTATTTATAAATAATATTGATAATAAAAAATATTAGCATAAATTTTTTTACACAAGGAGTTATGATAACCATAGAATTATCATATTCTATATTTTCATGTATATAAAAAAGTTATTATTAATCGCTACATAAAAATATCACTCAACTTTTACAAGAATATTATATCATCAAACATATAATATGATAATTATGTAAAATATAAAAATAATTAGATATCAAGATATTTTAAATCATTAATTATATATTTAAAATTTTTTAGACATGAAATAATGTAAAATCGTGTAATTTGTCTATAAATGTTCTAAAAACCTACGAAAATTTACTTTTTTTTTCTTATAAGAGTCGATCATTTGTAAAGTTGTTCAAAAGGTTAGAAAGATTTCTTATACCCGTGCTAAGCACGGGTAAATTACCTAGTTAGTTTATATTTTATTACTATTTGATATAATGATTTTATTACTAAAAATATACTATATATATTGACATTTTTAATGTCTCAATGGATTATTTGTCGGATTTATACTACTATTCATCTTCTGATGTCTCAATGGATTCTATGTCTATTAAATAAGATATTAGGTAAATACTAATATTACTACTGGATACAAAGACGATAAGCAAAAGAGACTAGCCTCTGCGTCTCCCACATAAATGTACGACAATACTAAGCTACCTACTATTCCACTATCCTAATCTTCAACCACCAAACCTTCTTATCTAGGGTTATAATTAAGTAAAATTGAGTTAAAGAACAAAATCTCAAATAGTGCAATACTATAATCATATACTCGAGTAATTGTCTACAGAAAGAATATTTACCCCATCTTTTATCCTATGAGTCTCAGTCCACATTCTGCCTCGATCAACAACTTTTCCTTATGCCATTTGAGAATACACCTATCAAAACACATCATTTGTAAATTTGTTTTTCTTCGGCATCTATGCATACATATCAAATAAGTTGTAAATTTGCACATCTATAACCATTTACTTATTAGTTAAACATATTATCAACACAAGAATTAGTATTGCTCGTAGAGACTAGAGACCTGCAGCTTTCTTCCTACATCAAATTTGGCATAGATAATACACACATACAACAAATAGATGCACAAATCCAACACATAATTCACAACTCTATCTTGTGATGTCATCAACTTCCTCACCACGTTCCGCATAGTGGATGCAGTCACCATCTCCTCGCGTTTCTGCCACTCCCTCACAATCAGGCCTACTTTTAACATTTCTGTTACCAAGAAAGCAGTCATTGATTGATCAGAGTGCGTAATCCAAGCAGCTATAGGCACTCCCATAGTACTATTCTTAATGCAAGAATTCCGTCCAGATGACTCATTATTCAGAAACTCATCCACAAACACTCCCTCACTTTTCTAGCTTACTAACTAACATTACTAGTTTTATAAGTGATAAACTAAAACATAAAGGAACCAATAAACACTGATATATGAAATGCATTAAATCACTACAAAATTATGAGGATACCTTTTTTGGCGCTAAGCTATATTTTCTGTCTGCAAATCAGTTTCCAAAAGCATAGAATTATAACAACTTAAAAACTACAATGAGTCCAAACTAAAAATTAAACATATATCTTAACTATAGACCAAAGACAATGTAAGATCATAAAATAGAATGAAGGAAGCCGGTTTTCCTTAAAAACTCACTCAATGAATGGCATGACTTGCACACAATTGAGTATCGATGTGCTTGACGTATCAAGTACTGACACATACTTTGCGCTACATCTTCTCTTCAGGTAGGTTTGGGTTCTCAACTTCCAAATTACGCTTAGATCGATCGGTTCTCGATGTTCAGTTCATCAGTTACAGTGGTGAGTCCTCATTCTTCGAGGACAAGTCACTTGATTATTTCCCTTCGTTTTTAGTCTTTATTGTGAGTATTTGCTAGATCTAGCTAGGGCATGTACCGACATTTCTAGTCAGTAGAGGCTTATTCAAGACATAGCTAGATTTAGCTTTAGTTCGTTTGAGTTTCACTTTCAGTAGTGTTAAAACTCTTAGTTTTCTTATATATTCGGTTTTAGAATGGGTATTCTTCATCACTTACAGTTTTGATAAAGCCTACCCTCAGTATTATCTCGTTTCAGTTATCATAGTATGTTTATGTATGTCAAATTGCCAACAAGGTTAGCTTTGAGTCATTTGTGATCCTAGGTCGTATCCACGTCTCGGGGATAGCTCTGAGTGTGACATTTTCTATATGAGGAATATGTATTTATAATCTTTTGGAAACTTCACCTTCCTCGTAAAAAAGAAAAGGTAATTTGGCTCTACATAAAATGAATTGCCACAAAAATAGTAACAAGAAAAACCCAAGATAAGAGTGTTTTCTCTTGTAAGGTTGTTTTCAAACAAATAAAAATATTAAACTCTTTCCTATCAAGATGTAGGTTTTTGATCGAATAAGATGAATCATAGTCTATCTTAAAAGAGATATAAAAATTGACGTGGCGTTAATATAAATTGACCAACAAATAAATAATGAATATCAAAATATTATATCAGATAATAATAATATATAAACTAATTTATTCATGTATGATTTTACCATTTCGTTGTATTGCTACTGTATGACGTTTTCTCTCATTAACTTGATCAAAATGATATACCAGTGGCACAATGTGAGAAAATTGATTGGCCCACACTCGACGTGCAATTAAATTAGTATAAGCTACTATTATATTTCTCTTAATTAAGTCAAATAATATATTATTTAAAGTGGAAAACTCTTATATTTAAAGTTGGATTACTAGTTTGTCACTTCACAAAATCAAGAGCTTCCCACTTTAGATAATAATAATATATGATTCAGATAATGAAGAAAAACATCACAATGACTTATATAATTTAATTGCATGTCGAGTGTGTAGTAAAATATTTCCTCATGTTGTGCCACTATCTATCATTTTGATCAAGTTCATGGAAGAAAATGTTATATACTAGCAGCCAAATTCATCGGTGGCCCCCTAAACTTGACACCAATTTTCACTTAGACACCTCACTTAGGCGATGTTCATTTTAGACACATTATATCGGGTTCTATCCTGTTATTTTGACACTTTTTGCTAACATGTCAAAGTGAGTGATACACTCAACAATAGCGTGTGAAAGACTTAATTTAGCCATTTTTAATTTTATTTTCTCTTCTTCTTCTCCATTTTTCAAGCCACCACCCCCTACTTTTTTTTCAATCTTAAATTCCTTTATTGAAGGTCAATTTTTTTTTTCAAATTCGTTTTTAAGTCATTTTCTTCTTCTTCTTCATTGTATTACTTATCTAAATCTACCATCCCCTCCCTCCATTTTGTTTTTTGGAAAAATGGATACCAACACCCATATTTCATATTTATTCTTTTTTTTTCTGCCTTCATCTCCCTCTTTTCTTTCCAAAACACAATACAAAAAAGAAAAAGATAAATAAATATGAAAAATAGTAAAAGAAAAGAATTTTTTTAGAAAAAAAAGCACAAAAGAGATTTTGAGTGTAATGAAATAAGAGATTTTCTTAGAATAATATTTTTAATTTATTTACTAAATATATTTTATTATTTTTTTAAACTGAAAATAACACATGTAATTATTTAATTGATTGTTTGTCACGTCATCAACGAGTATATTACACTCTCTTTTAGTTCTTTGTTTATTGTCAGAAAAGTGTCAAAACGACACAACATAACCCTGCATGACGTGTCTAAAAAGAACATCGCCTAATTGAAGTGTTTAAGTAAAAATTGGTGCCATGTTTAGGGGGTCACAGATTGATTTGGCCTATACTAGCAATACAAGGAAATGGTAAAATCACACATGAACATATTAGTTTATATATTATTACTATTTGATATAATAATTTGATATTCATTATTTATTTGTTAACTAATTTATATGGTGTTAAGTCGATTTTTTGATACCTCTTTTTAGGACCGGCTATGATTCATTCTCGTTCAATCAGAAAATCACATCTTGATAGGAGGGAGAGGAACTTTCAATTTTTTGTTTGTCTGAAAAGATTCCTTACGAGAGAAAACGCTCATATCTATGGTGTTTCTCGCTTCTATTTTTGGGTGAGATTTCATTCTAAATCGAGGAAAAATACCTTTATTTATATGTGGAAGATGTATTATACGCTTTTTGAATCGAATTTTAGTTACAACTGCATTACTCAGTAATACAAAAAGAAATAGTAATCAAGATTACTCTTCGACCATTTAGTTTACAAAATAGTAAATACTTATATTTCATTTATATCTAAGTTGTGCGGACTCTTTACTTTTTATGTCGCATCCATGTCGAATTCTCTAAAAATAGACTATTTTTAGAAGTTCGGATACGCAAACATTGACATTTTTTATGTCTTAGTGGATTGTATGTTGGATTTATAAAATTGTTCATCTTCTTTATCTCAATGGATTCTATGTCTATTTAATAAGATACTAGGTAAATACTAAATATTACTACCGGATACAAAGACGATAAGCAGAGGAGACTACCCTCTGCCTCTCCCACATAAATGTACGACAATACTAAGCTACTTACTATTCCACTACCTTCTGATCTAGCTTTCATGTCATTATTAAGCCAAATTCCCAATTTGTGCACTACTATAAACATCTACTCGAGTAATGATCTACAAAAAGAATACTTACCCCAATCTCCTTAGTCACCTCAGTTACATAACTTCTATCTTTTCTCCTATCAGTCTCAGTCCACATTCTTCCTCGATCAACAACTTTTTCTATCGTCATTTAAAAATTTTAAACTGCAAAACATAAGTAACTAGGTGAGAATATACCTAAGAAAGCACATCATTTTTATACTGGTTTTGCTTCGACATCTATGCATACATATTAAATAAGTTGTAAATATACACATACATAGACAATTACTTATTAGTTAAACATACTATCAACGCAAGAACGAGAATTGCTCGTAGATGTAGGAAATATGGAAGGAAATAGTACCTTTAGAGAATGCTCAAGTTTATTATAGGCTACTTAAGGCCACTTGAGATGATTATAAACATTAACTACATCACTATTTATACTACTCAAAATAGAAAATAAAAATTCTTGCACAAATAACTAAATG